TTGTTATCCTCAAGATATGTGATATTTTTGCCAAATGACTTGCAGATTGATTGTAAATCTCGGTTCTTTTTAAAATAGAGGCTCTGGTTACTCATGCAGAGAAAACCTGGGCCTTTGACATAAAGATGAAAGCCCATTTGTATCAAAAGCTTGTTACATTTGAGTCATTTGATTTCTTGGTTGTAAATTGGGCCTCACATGACGGTTGAAATGGACATCCTACCCTAGATTTTGGCATTTTAAAATCATCCTAGTGGATGTAATTTTCTTACCTTACCTGTTGCATGTGGTATAATTTGCACTTTTGAAGATGATCCTCCAATGCAGGCATATGACAATAGATGTCAGGGGATTAAGCGAATGCAGATCATGTCTCGGCGTTCAGACACTTTCTTGTTTATGAACGAAAGTGGAACAACCCATCTCCATGGCCTTTTATGTGCTGTCATTCTGTACTCACTTCGAGAAACCATGATCAGCTGTATGGATATGGTAGACAGGACAGCATGGTACAGACCAAAATTACACGTTCTTAATTAGAGTCTCGATTCCATGTCATGTCCTGTTGGGAATTTTTGAGAGAAGAAGGGACTTGGAGGAGAAGGGGAGAAGCACCGGTTGAGTTACCTCATTTGGTGAGGTGAGAACTCATTTTTTTCATTCATTGTTCTGCTATTATAGAGCAGAAAACTCAGTACATAAAGGTAATTTCTCACGTAATACTTATCTAATACATGAAAAATCTATCAAACATTTAATGCAAGATTACATTAAAAGTCTTGCTGCCATTTGTGCGGCTCCATGTGGCTGGAACTCTGCAACGACTTTGCAGCCTCATTTCCTTTCATTTGCTGCCACTTGTGCAGCTCCATGTGGCTGTACTTGCTGCTACTTTGCAGCCTTTCATTTGCATTTTTTTTTTTTTTTGACCAGGTAGATGGTTAAGAAGTTAGTAGAGTTAGTTTCTTAGCAGCTGGAATTTTTCCAGGAAAGTGAACGTTCCACCCCCTCATTTGAGGCGCGTGACCATTAGGTCGCAAGTTAGTAGAGTTCACGGTGGTGGCAGAGCTCGAAGCCCTGACCTCCGCCTCACCCAAGCCCTAAAGCTTGGGGGCCAACCAATTGGGCCACAGGCCCGGTTGGCTTCATTTGCATTTCATTACAGCCTCATTTTATCAACATTTGCATCATAGCTTGCTGCACTCTGCTGCTATCGTGCTTTGGTGCAGCTTTCTTTCATTTGCTGCATCTTGTGCAGCTTTCACACCACAACTCCAACATGTCCTCACATGCCTTTTCAGAATCAATCCAAAATGTGGAAGTGTCAGCTCTAGTTTGATGTTAAGTTTAAGCGCACCGGATTCTAAAAATTTTTGAGGATTGAGGTTTATATTTCTTTTACACTGTACTTTGATTAAGCAATTGATTAGAACCATGAGACTGTAATGTGTTGATTGGTTAATATCAGGTGATGACTTTCTTTTCACCTTTCCTTTTTCTACATCTAAGGCAGCTTCTTTTATACAAACTTATTGGAAGTCCATGCTTAAAAATACGAAGTATAACAATACTAAAATCCACTCATGCATGGCATGTGGGTTCATCTTCTTCATCCACTTGGATCCCCTCATCAGCGAGCCTCTTATTCTTATACACATACCTGCTAGCACAAACCAAATATATTATCAAGTTGAATCCACTCAAGATTGCCACCTCTTCACCTTTCCTTTTTATACATCTAAGGCAGCTTCTTTTATACAAACTTATTGGAAGTTCATGCTTAAAAATACAAAGTATAACAATACTAAAATCCACTCATGCATGGCATGTGGGTTCATCTTCTTCATCCACTTGGATCCCCTCATCAGCGAGCCTCTTATTCTTATACACATACCTGCTAGCACAAACCAAATATATTATCAAGTTCAATCCACTCAAGATTGCCAAAAGCCAGTAGAAATTATAAAGCCTTCCTTGGTTTATATTGTCTGGTAGCCATGGATTCGTATGATCCGTAACCTTGTGCACAATTGTAACTAACAAAGAGCTCACAAAGAATCCAAGTGAGAGGCTACTCAAGAACAACCCTGTACTCATTGTTTTCATCCCCTGTGGACACTCCCTCAGGAAGAAATCAAGCTGTCCCATGTATGTAAACGCCTCTCCAGCCCCAACCAAGAAAAACTGAGGGACCAACCGGAAAACTGTTAATGGGATTTCAGCCGCTGGATTGTCTACCAAACCGTGTGCTTTTGCGGCTTTCAATCGCTTGATTTCGGTCAATGCTGCTGCCACCATTGCAATAATTGATAGGAACAACCCAACACCAATTTTACGCAATGAGGTTAGGCCTTGTGGGTGTTTGAGCACTTTTCTGACAATTGGAACAATGATCCGGTCGTAAACCGCGACGGTCAAGAGGATGCTGCCGACAAAGAAAACGGTTAGTGACGCTGCCGGAATTTGGAAAGATTTTCCTATGTGACGGTCCATAGTGGCGGCCTGTGACACGGAAAATGTTGTCATTTGGGCATAGTCGGTCCAAAATATGATGGCGGTTGCCCAGATGGGTAACATTCTGATCACCAGTTTCACTTCCTCCACGTCTGCTATGGTAGATAAGTTCCACTTGTTTGCCACTGCAATCGATGGATCCTTGATTGCTGCCTTGTCCAAAAAACTGCATCATTAATCAACATTCTAAATTAAAATTATGGTAGTAGTAGAGTAGTATTTTACATGAATCTCGAATTTGGAACAACATGAAATTTTCTGATTTTTAAAGGACAGATAAAGGCAAAAGGTACCTAATTAAAGAGTTTCCACTAATAAAATATTAGAATGGCCAAAAAATGTAATTGAAGTATTAAATTGTGAGACAACCGTGGAAGATGCCTAAAGACAAGGAACGTGAGGATCTCTCGCACGATCTCTTTTTGAAACCTTTACTGTAATTCCAAATTCTGGTTCTGACACGTATAATATATAGTACAGATAAGAAGAAATTTCTTGTCCATGATCTGGAAATTTTTATTATTTTAAGGGAAAAACATTTTGATAAGTTTTGGGAATTGAGGACAACAAAGACATTGTGTATGTTATGTGCCAAATTAACTTACATGTTCCTAGAGTTTCCCAGCCGTGTTTGTATTTGTGTTTTTTGTTTTTTTTTTGGTATGTAACATGTGATGACTCAATACTTCTTTTAAATTTCTCTCACTTGTTTTAAGTTTAGAATTTGAGACATTTAACATTAGAATTCCAAACTCTAGAAACACTCAATTAAGCAACGTGTAGCGGTCGAAATGCAGCCACATGATATGGGGGTCCATTAAGGGACAGGAGCGAAATGATATGCATGTATGGCCTATGAAAGATCCCCAAATCAATAATTTTCAAGTTTGTGATTTTGATTGCATTTTAGAAGGAAATTATCACTCAGATGGTCCACTAAAAAAAGATAACTTGTATGGATGCATATATGCCACTAGACCTACTATAACTATCTGGCACAGTTAGGTTGCGTTGGGGCCTGGGTCATTCATTTGTGATGTGTCCATCAATTAAGAACTTACTTGCTGGTAGATAATTGGTGAGTTAAAGAAAATTGAACCAACCGGAAATCCTTGGTATGAGGCAACTTTTGCTTTTTGTTCTTATTCACTCCATCATCAACATTGTAAAGCAGAGATGAGTCTGATGGCAAATCCAAATGTCTCTTCTTCAATGCCGCCACAAACACCACCGCAATCTGGGTTAGTGGACTGCCCACCAATTTCTTGAACCGGTACCGCCGGGTACCGGATAGAAACACCACTAGTCCTAGAACAATAGCACAAGCGCAGATACCATACCCATACTCGCGGCCCAAGTTATCCTGTATGTACACCAGAACCGTCACAGCACCTAGCGAACCTATGTTTATGAGGAAGAAGAACCAATTGAAGAACTTCATCATCTGTTTGCTCTCTTTGGGGTCCGAATCAATGAATTGATCAGACCCAAAACCAGAGACGCTTGATTTGATACCACCGGTTCCCAGTGCCGTTAGGTACAGGGCTAGGTAAAGAATAGTTATTTGCATTCCACTTGCCTGGATGCAGGGCGTGCCGGTATGCGGGATGCATTTTGGCGGCCGTAGGCTAGGGATGATGGTTGATACTGTTAAGACTGTGACACCCTGCTCCCTCAAAAAGAAGGGGAAAAAATTAATAAACTTCATCTACAAGATTACAATAAAAAAAGATGTTCTTCAGATGCTTCTAAGATGATATTCTATGGATGAGGGACTTACAGTTGCTTGAACTGTGGCGAAGATTGCGATGGTGAGATACCTGCGGAAAGCAGAAGCAGATTGAAGAAGAAGAAATTAAGGTTAAATATACAAAATTAAAGTGCTTAATTGGTTGAAATGGAAGTAAGGGAGAAAGAGCACACCTGCCAAGAAAGGTGTCTGCAACGAAGCCACCGAAGAGACAGAGCATGAAGGAGGTGCCAAGGAAGTTGGTGACGGTGTTAGCGGAGGTAGCATTGCCCAAATGCATGGTACCAGTCAAATATGTTACCAAATTTACGGCAATACCTAACGTTGTTAGCCTCTCAAATAGTTCAACACCTGAGATGTAAAAAATCCCATATATATTTAAGAAAAAAAAAAAGAAGACGAAAGAAACTTATTACGAAGAGAAAATAAGGTGGAATTCAAGACCTAGAATCATGGCGGCGCTGGTCCAACCTCCGGTCTTGGACGGCTCGGCTGGGCGGCCCTTGCAATCCCAGGCATCGGACATGGTTTTTCCTTGAGTTTGAGGGAGGTTCATGGTGAATGAAAATTGATTATTGCTGTATGTAGCCGGACAGAAGGTGTTGGTGTGTGAAATATTGGGCAGGAGCTGAAGCAGAGTAATGGAGAGTACTGTGAGGAAACAAAAATTGGTGGCACAGGATTGCACAACATTTGTGGCCCTTTTATAGGAAGAAGGGAAGGGCGTTGCGTTCAGGTCAGGTGAGATAAAGTCCATTCTGAAGGAAATGAACGTTTGGCTACACAAGCCAGTCCCCGTAACGGTTCAAAATCTTGTGCAAGGAACACCACCAATTCGGGCCTATTGCGTTTTCTTCACTAACGGAAAATGAAAGGCTTCCATGATTTTTCCATTAAAAAAATAAATTCATTAACCAATTAGAATAAGCTTAACTAATGAGTTTGCTTGAGTTAGCCCTTATTAATTTAAAGAACTTTAATTTTGATCAAATTTAAAAGTTTGAATTTATGTATTATCAAATAACTAACTTTTAATACACTAAAAAAAATTGTACAAGCTTAAATATGGTAGGGCCCTGTAAATGCTTGGACATGTTGATCAAAAGATTGTTGATATATCAAAACTTCATATATGTCCCCAAATCATCCCTTCCGATTCCAATTTTCCACTTATACATCATTACACATCAAATGGTTTAGACTTAATATGTACTTCTAAACTTAAGAACTTGATGACTCCCAAATCTTGATGTCAATCCAAATTAGCAACTCAATCTTGTCGAAAATGGGTGATAGATGTTGCGGTTAGTGGTTGTACGTGCGTTAATCACTCCACCCAATAAATTTTAATATTAATAAAAAGGAAAAATGCAATGTTGAGATATACTCACTATGTTCCACCATACTAATCATTTTAGGAAAAGTTTTTTGTTCTTATTTATTTGTTCCTTTAACTTTTGGATGTGCTTGCGTGCAGGGTCCAACGAAGGGACAGGGAGCAGAAGACCCCCTCTCCCTTCCCTCCACAAGAGATGTTTTGCTGGTTCGTGGTTAAAGTATACTGCATGTCAATAGCAAAACTTTGTGTCTGGTTTGATATATGGCGTCATTTAATAGTTTCTCTTGTTAAGAGAGAACGCTCTACTACTAACTTTGAAATTAAAATTTAAATGAAAAGGGCGTTGTAACTTGAATGTAGTGTGGGTACTGTGCGGAAAATATCTAAATTGGGCGTTAAATGCATGAAAGGGAATATGCATATGGTTGTTCATCGCTACTGCCCACAGATGACGCTTGCATTTCATCCATGGACCGTGCATCTACATTATATATCTCAATTAATGCAACAATGTCTTTTAGTTAGCTGTTTAAGGAACTAGGGTCTAGGATGTGGTTCCCATTAAAATATGGGTTTTCTAAGACGCATATTAATAACATTTTTTAATATTAATTATTATTAAAAAATAAAAGTTATTTCTCACGTATAAGGCAAGTGGTTTATCATTTGATTGTTTGTGAGAACACTTTCTAGATTAAAAGTTCGAGTCTCTAATGATCCCTTCTCCAATTCCCCCTTAGTATGATAGGTTTGATTGTAATTTATTCCAAAAAAATTTTTTTTATTTAATTAACTGTTTAATTAAAATGATTTATGTAATATAGGTGATGAAATTAATGTGCTTTAAGGGCACATAATAAAAAATATATATATATATATATATATAAGTGGTCTTGGATGTGGTAAATGAGATGTACTCTATTGTTCATGTTTATTTATTTATAGGCTTAATTCAATTTTTAGTTTATTAACTATAAGCTTAATTTTATTTTATTCTAGAAAGTTTATTTTCTTTCTAGATGGTTTATAAACTTTAGAAATATTTCAAAATAGTCTATTAGTA